AGGTTGCGCAGCAAACTGGCGTCAAGCGCCCACTCAGAACTCAGAGATATAGTAACCAAGAACGCAGCTCAGATACAAGTTCACTTCAAATGGCTATGGCGGTACATCGCCTGTACAACTCTCTGTTCGTCACTCACTCAACACTGCTGTTCGCACACAGGATCACCCTGGATATCCCACACGCAACACACTACACATTCGCATGCTCACACACATTACTCTCTCTGCTATCAGCTATGACGGCTATGGCCGCTGCTACCCTATCGCTATAGCTAACTTCCTTCTCGCCCACTTCCTCTTCGGGCTCACTGCAGACCACCTCGCACAAGTCGTTGTGGCAGCGCTTCCGCATGGCTTACGCAGGAATGAATGAATGGYTGGGCGCTGCCTCTTGATTTATACTTATGTAACTCGTTGGTCTGCCCCTCTCCACCAGGCCTAGGGTGCACACAGTCCCTTATGGTACTTGCTTGACTGGACTGGGACTGACTGGACCGCTGATTGCATGGGCTTGCACTGCCAACTCAATGCAGTCGCACTGCCGACGTAATGCAGCTGGGCTCACCACTTGCACACTTGCCTCTGACTAAAACGTGAGGCAGCTTTGAAAGGCCACTTCCGGACCTTCCAGAAGTCTGTGGACTTGGCCTTTCGATTACTGTAGCAGCTATGACCTTGACCTTTCAGGACTGTAGCAGCTACGACCTTGACCTTTCAGGACTGTAGCAGCTACGACCTTGACCTTTCAGGATTCCTACAGCTACAACCTCTACAGGGTTGTGACTCCGACTTGGCAGATCTACAGATCGAACCCCTACCACTGCACAGGCCTACGATAGACAACAACAACTGTCACAACACAGCTCACGGGTTCAAACACTCGGGGTCGACGCAGATACTGTACACAGGTAAGGTGAGAACTAGGGATCGAACCCTGGGATCTGCATTCGCTACTGCTAACATGTGAAAACCGTTTCATATAAGTCTAAAAGCCTAAACCCTCGGTTATAATGCTTCCTTAATTTACCAGTTCGTAGTCTGAGAGATAAAACCTGTGCTGATTCTCAGCCCTAAGCTCTGAAACTTTCTTCCTCTGTCTTTGTTTTTGCGAGGTACCATTTTTTGAAAGCATACGGACAAGGTGCTGGAAAAAGGGAGGGAATGCTTTTTGGGAGAGCAGTAGCAGGCAAAATGCGATCTGAAGTTTTAGGGTCAGGCCAAGTAAACGTTTGTGCAGTTCTTGGGAAACAATCATACTTGCGGCGCACCGCCACTGTGCGCTGTGCGCGGACCTAGGGTGCGCGCGCACCGGCGCGCACGTCTGGTGTGCTGCGCTCATGTGCGCAATGTATATTTCCATGTTCTAGCGGTAGATTCATTTGATTTTGTTCTCTCTCTCTCTCTCTCTCTCTCTCTCTCTCTCTCTCTCTCTCTCTCTCTCTCTCTCT